TGATTTTACCACCATTCGACGCGTCTCGATGAGAGGATTCCAACGAGCTATGGCTCGTCCTTGTACGATCACTGGATAGTCGTATATTCGTTTTTTCGCATTTTTTCTTAATTTCGGATAGAACCGAACCGAACCGGACGGTTCCAAGTCCAAAACAGAACCGAGAACCGAACCGAATTTTTTGCCGGTTCCGGATCGGTTCCCGGTTCAAACCGGAACCGTTCGGAGCTTTACATAGAAAATAGCAAAAAATCCAAAAACATCATATAAACTTTAGAATAGTAACGTAATTAAACAAAATAATTATAGAATCGAACACAATGTATTAGTTTAGATTTTATATTAGAATTTTAGATAGGTTAACTCAGTTATAGGATTTAGAAGGTCTCGAACTTTTTTTGCTCTAAGTGCTTTTGTATACAGTTATGGATTTATTTTAAATCCTAAATATCTTAATAAAGTGCATTACTATTTAAAAAAAAAAAAAAAAAATCTGCAGTTGTATATCAATATAATCAGAAATCGACATATACACAAATGTACTGTATATCAGATAGTCATATGACATCAGAAATCATGTGAGCAAGATTTTGCGTAACAGTTACAATTTCATAGACGTTGTAATAATTGAAAAATACAATAAAATAGAATAAGGATAAATAATTAGCCGAAGGATAAATAATTAACCGATGGGTAAATAATTAGCCGATAAAATTATATTTATAGTTTAGTTTAGTGTAACGAGATAGACATATGATAATAGATCTTCAAATTTTATTAGAAAAGATAGAAAATATGAGAAATATTTTTCTTAAAAATGTATAAATACAAGTGGATTTCGATAGGAAATTCCGCAGTTCAATTTTTGGAAAATAAAAATTTTAGTTCGTCCTTAATAATAAACTAACACATTCTTTTAGCCTTTTTCTTATGAGCAAAAAGTGCCACATTAATTATTTTTAATTAATGGTTTATTAATGTTTTGTAACTAATTTTATTCTTAAACCAAGCATAGATATTATTCGAACTTAACACGTCGGTGGCAACATATGATATTTTATTTTAATATCCTATGGGGCGTGTCACAACGTTAATTTGATTTAATACTAATAGGAAAAAAAAAAACTCTTTCCCTTTTTTATTTTTGATAATTTTTTGCAGTAATATAGCGTTGTGTTCATTTTTATAGTTTTCTAAGAAAACTTCAAAGGGGAGGAGGCCCAACTGGGCGCCGCTGGTCGCAATACGAGGTTTTTCTGTTCTTATTATTTCCATACCTAAAGGAATATGACTTCTTCAAATTATGTCAAAATAGACTGGTCTAGTTATTCACACTCTTTTATTCAACTAGGTGAACCTTCACCGTCAGTAGATGACTATCAATACCACCCACCTGAAGACGACATGTCAAATGTTCTCACAACAAAGGATATTTTTGCCCTGGATATTGATGATTATTTTCCAGTTAATAATAACTCTATTCAACAAAATAATAATTTTTTTTCAAAAAAATTACCTAAGGACCAGAAAAAAATACTCTCTTGGTCTCCCTGAAAAAATTTCACGTGACTACGCCAAACCAATCTGGTTATAACAAGATTTATGAAATCCGCCGATCTAGGAGTTTCTTTTTTGAGCTTGCTAATCATCAGAATCAAAACGCCAATGAAATTCATTTGAAGATACACACAAATGATTATCATATGAAGACTAAACTGATTTATTATATCAACACAAGTTCATTTTCCAGCCACAAATATCAAATTAGCTGTATGCTTACGCATTTTTTTTCTTCACAAAGAGTTATTCCTCGTCATATACAAGATAAATATTTTAATTTCTTACGTAACAAATTATTGGATAGAATTAAAATAATAAGCTCACGTACTTCTAGTACAACCAATAGAAATTATTCTACAAAATCTTTTTTTAATTTCACTTATAAGAAATGTCACTTTTATTTGGCATATTCAATTCTTGCCCTCATATCAATAACTCTAAACATTTTCACAAAGATATACAGTGTGATGTTTCTACTCCGTTTGTCATATCACAATATAGAAGCGCATGCGTCACTTATCAACATATTTTTGCAAAAACACAATGTTTCCAGAATATCAAACCTAAAAATGAACAGAAATCGGAACATGTACCAACAGATTTCGTTAATAACAAGGCCTCTTATGCAAATTTATTATATTACAGATGGCTTGATGATAAATTAAAACGTATTACCTCTAGACAACTGGGTATTTCCTATAATAGTAATATTCATGCTAGAGATTCTCTTTTATCACGAAACTGGGCAATAGACATATGTATCAAAAAACTTTGTCCAACTTCCAATACACCTTAAATCATAATTTACGGACGCAAAAACAGCAAAATATATGTTTTAAATGCACTTGCCGTCGTGTATTTAATAAAATGCGATTACCATTCAATCGTAAGGCTAAAAATCAGGATTATTTGGCGATGGTGTGCAAATATCATTTTTTATTCTTGAAATCTCAATATGTCAAAGTACTCATTCGATATTTATTGTACAAACAATCTCATTTGATTCTGAACGCTGACGATTATCCATTTTTGGTTCCTTATTTTGTGATAGATTCAAATTATAAGAAACAAATCATGATGAAACTCAATCAAGCGTCAATGCTTTTTAGTCCTTCAGTACCACCTGTTGATTACAACCCGATTCTGGATGTATTCATACCTACAAAATACCATGATATTATACCAAAAGATCTGATTTATGTGAACGATCGTTATGTGGTTCCTGAATCTTGTGAGTGGTTTACTTATATGTACAATGTTGATGAATCTTTTTATCCATCTGAAGATAAGACTTCACGCTATAATACAAGAGGCAAATATATCACAAGAACTCCAATATACCGTTTTGACATTATGGGAATTTATGTACCGTCACATATTGTAGAAAAAAGTCAACAACATAGAATCAACAGACTAAAGTTGGAAGCAGAAGCAACATATCATGGAATGACTCCAAAGCATTATAATGCTCATGTTAATAACATCGCATCTCTAACGCATGCATCAGAAAGTTTTCATAGTTATATACCTAATTACTTGGTAAACAGAGACAATAGACATCAACAAGGCCTAAGTTGAGCTTCCTTAGATAAAAAACTCACCAATTTTCTCAAGAAAAATAATCTTCGAACTCAAAGAACTATGAAATATCCTACCCACACATTCGCCATAGTATCTGATGATACAGCAGCTATTGAATATCAACCTAATAAACATGACGATGTTCACAATAAGAATCATTATTTCTCATTTCAGAATTACAAAATGAAATGACTCTGTCTCACACCAGTTACAGATATTGACTCCCTGGCAATTGGATCTTCAGGTTTTAAGCATGATTAAAATTTATATATTATATATATTAGTATTCTTATATCAGGAGTACGATACCCTTATCTAGTAGTTTAGTCTACATTTTAGTTCATATTACTATACTTCTCCGCTAATTAATTACATTATATTTTGGTGAATGGACCAATTCACTATTTATTATAAAATTACTATGAATTAATTACATCTATCAAAATACATTACGTCTGTCAAAATAAATTTAATTAGTATTTTGTCATTTTGACAAAAAGTATACGTATTACGTTATCATACGAATAACACAACTTAAAATAGTGTAAACCACTTCACCTCTTACAGTATTCACAGGTGGTAACCTTAGTTGAAAGGAAAATACGGATCTTAATTTTTTATTAATTTTGATTGCTGTAGGATAGAGTTAGACTACATATACTTGCCCTTTTAATTTTTCTTTTTTGTAAATAGTAGCTAGTTTTTTGGATGGTTTTTTTATGGTTTCCATTTGATTAATTAGCATAGTCCTACTTTATCAAATAGTACAGATCAAAGAGTGAGGTCCCGTAGGGGATGAAGAACAAAGTTCTATATACACATATTAGGTTTAAGTTTTTTTTCGAATTCTTTTTTCTTTTATTTGTAATAGTCTGGTTCTACTACTCTTTTAGTAATAAAATAAATAAATAAATAAACTTGATCTAATACTAGCTTTGATAATATGAAAACACATTTACTAGATTACATTTATTTTTTAGCACAGTCATGTAAATTTGGGTCCAGATTATCAGACCTTGCGATCCAGTGATTCACTTAAAATCCAATTCACCAATTGATTATAGAGCTTGATTTACATGACTTTTTTTTTACTTTCACTTTATAATGAGAGTTATTATAAAAAAATTTTTTTACTTTTAAATATTTAATGAAATAATGGTTTTAATAAGGATATAGTATAAATTGCTAGGAACTTCTTGCTTCAATAAATTAAGATGCAATTAATTTTTGTTAAAGTTTTTAATCATTTTATTGTATAAAAAAATCTAAACTAATAATTATTAAATATGTACAAGAAAAAAAATAAATTTAGTTCGATCTGATTGATCAAAATCACAGGACTCAGCACAGTTACAGCTGTTTTCATAAGAACTGGGACAAAATAAATTTTTGAACCCAACTGCTAACTAAAGATAGTCATTGGTCCTACTGGTTCTATTCAGTTCCAGGACTGCCAGTCTTAAGACCAGACTGTGGTCTTTCAGTCTTTTCATCAGTCTTGCTGTTAATTCAGGCTGAATTTATAGTGCCAGTCAGAATTACAAGTAAGTGTAACACAAAAATTTTGTGTTACAATCACAGAACCAGTAAAAAAATTTTTGCCTGGTAGCTAAACTATTTATTCGGGATCACGTGCTTGTCACATTTAGTAATTCCGGCTGACACTATGTATCTGGCCTGAATTAACCTAGGATCGAAAGACCACAGTCTCATATGAAATGGACCAGTCTGTCTTTTTTGGGTGTAGGACCAGTAAGATCTCAGTTTTCTAGAACTGGTGACCATCCTTACCACTAACCCACTAATCTGGTTCATTTATTTTATTTTATTTTATTTTATTACTACAAGAGTGGTAGTACCAAAACTACTACAAATATAAGTGAGAATTCATTTGCATGTCTATCTACTAATATACGTGTATAGGATTCAGAACTTCATCCCCTATGGGACCTCACCCTTTGGTCAAACTATTTGAAAAACTAGGACTATACTAATAAATCAAATGGACAATGAAAGGAGACGAACAAAAAAAAGAACAAAAGGGAATTCAAGTCAAGTCATTCGTATTTTTCTTTTAACTATTAACTAGCTATTGTATGTAAATACTGTTATATCCAAAATGATATATTATGTTAGGTCTGTGATTATTTTAAGGGTATATATTATTGTATAAATACGATCAATGATCCTGCCCAGGTGTGGGCAGGCATTCTAATGTTTAAGTTCATTTCTTTCTAAGAGGACGTTTAGGTCTTCTGTTATTGGGAAGAGGATAATCCAGAGGTGGTGTAGTTCTATTAAAGAAAGTTGAATCATCATTGATGATTTCGCAATAGTAATCTGAAATGAAAAAAATATTGTTTTCTGCATCATATTGAGGTGACTTTTCTATGATAAGCGGGTGAAAACATCTGTTTAAAAAATTTTTGTAAAGGAGTTGAGCTTTTTCATAACCGTAGTTATATTGGGGAATATTAGACACATCAAATCAGCATCTAACTTTGTAGTTGAAGAGGTTAATGTTGTATGTATCAAAGTAATATTTACGGGTATCACCCGTAAAATCAGTAGGTAAAGGTGGTAGCTTTTTCTTGAATTTGTTGCATTTTTTAATTCTTTGTAACCAATTCTTAGTATGTCATAGTATAACTTTTTCTTTGTCAATTCTACCTTTGTATGATGGATGTATCAGAGCTTTATCAACACAGTGACATAATTGTTTGAAGACGACTGATTCTGGACAATGCCTTGTTTGTTCTTTCAGTAAAAATGGTTTGGTGTATATTGTACAGCATTCCATTTTTATAGTCTTTTGTTTCAAATGATTCCAATGTTTAATTTGCTGTGAGAATCGAACAATATCAAATGTTAGGTTTCTATATTCTTTATAATAAGGCTGAGTCATAGGGATGCCTTTTTTGGTAAGAATGGTAATAGGTTCTATGACCATCTTAAGGTCTTTATCTTTTTTTCCTTTGTAATCACAATATCTTTTAATGATAACTTCATATAATACACCTAAGCGTGTTAAGTGAACTTTTTTTGCTCGGGGATTCCATTGTTGGTTAAATCTTTATAAACGTGTGGATTTTTTGGAAATTTTTCTTCAAGCTGTTCGTCAAAAGTGACCGTTAAGATAGGCAGAGATGTGCATTACACTTCCAGCAGTTTTGTGACATAATGAAGGCAGTGGGTTGGAAGCAGTAATCTATATTGCCATAGTAGTTATTGTTTCCACAAGGAAAATAAAATCCCAGGTAAATCACATGGGACCTGGAACTGAACCAGATAAAAGTTTTAGTCTGTCTATTTTTAGAAGATGTTGAAGATAATCTATTTTTTATGGACATAAATTTGTCCAAAAGTAATTGGCATAAACGTTTGAAATATTTTTTAACAATGTCAAATGAAAATTGGCAATTAATAGCAAAGGTGAATGTGAGGTATGTCCCTATTAGGTAATTGATATATGTTGAGTTTTTTACTACTTGAATTGAAGATCCTATGATGATCATGCGTCATATCAATATCATTGGTGTAAATGTTGAAAAAATTTTTCCTTATTTAATTGAAATCAGCATCTTTGTCTAACTCCATTAGGAAGTATCTAGCTTTTTTGGTATTATATAGGGTGCCACTACCACGTGTGTCCAACACCACATAGGGGTTGAGGTTGAGTCTTTTAGTGTAAAAAGAAAAGGTGTAAGTATTGCAAGGGTGGTATAAATGAACGATAGCTTTGGAGCCTTCTTGAGGTCCTTTGGGTTTAGTGTTCTCCGTACATAAGTCCTTTTGAGAGGTTTCCATAATATTATAAGGAAAGAAGGGATATTTGTGAATACTGTTGTGAACCTAATATTGTTCCTTATTTTTTATACGAAAAGCAACAGGAAGAAAATATGATGAAAAACTATTTAAAAATGTTGGGTGTATCTTTTAAAAGTAAATAAAGTATATCTTAATACTCTTTCCAAGAAAAGGGTTAGAAAAATAAATGGAAAAAAAGTTTTTTGTAATAAAAATAAAACGTCCAACTTCATGAAATTTTGTTCCAGATTTTTGTGGGAAAGAGTTTTTTTTTTACCGATCTGGTTCAGTTATTTATTTTACAAACCAAACTATCAAATCAGGATCACGTGCCCAGCTAAAAATACCGGATCAGCAGATTGGCAGATCGGGTTCAAAAATTTGGTTTGTCCCAGGTCTTATGAAAACAGCTGTAATTCATCCGATGGTAGCGAAGTTTATCAAAGTTTAAATTCGGTCTGCATCAAAATTCACATGACTGTGCTAAAAATTTACATGCCTGGACTCAGAAAGATCATCAGACCGGACTCAGTAAAGATATACTCAGCAATCAGATTGCTTGGTTTTAATTAAGTAGGTAATGGATAGGATAGGTATACTTAGTAGATTTTAAACATTAGACTTAGTACAAGCAGAAAATGGAAAGATTTATATATTATCGTTATAGTATTTGATAATAATGGTATATTACTACTATGTGAAAAAATCAATGTTTATCTTTAAGGTTTTGGGTATTATTGTAAAAACAAAATTATGCAAGCTTTTATATTTTTAGTATTCAAATAATAAATAATTACATACAGTATAATTACTAAAATATTTAATGACTTGTTCCTTTGCTAATTTAAATTTAATTCCTTTATTTAATAATTTAAGAATTATATCATTTGTTCCATCAACTATTCAGTTAAAATCTTTTTCAGTTAAGGATATTGCTATATTATTAATTTTATTGTATTCATTTTATTAAAATTTTGAATAAGTTGAGACAATTCTCCTTGTAATTCTGAAATATTGGTACTTAAAGGAACCTCATTAAGTTCTTGCCCATTTGATAATTGAGGATTTTCCGTAGGTTCACCATCCCAGCATTCTAAACAAATAAATTATAATTTAAGATTAATTATGATAATACTCTGGTTATATTTAAATTATTTAAATTTGATATTTTACTTACTATTATAAATTTCTAATAATATTCGGGTGTATCAGGAACAACCGTCTTTCTAAGACCTTGCGAAATCTCCAAAATTAAACCAACATCATAATGTTCACCTTTAGCATAAAAAGAAGGTTGACCAGGACCCAGAAATATATATACAGGGGTAGGGTACACAGATGCGTCGCCATCATAGTGGAATTAGACGGAGTAAAGTTTTGATTTGCGTACAATTTTAGAATTTTTCATCTATAGTTAGGTCATCAAGATTGCGTATTTTTTATCAAAATTTTTATAT